TCTTGGATCTTCCTTTTTTAGTATTGTTTTAAATTTTGGATATTTTATATGTTTTACATATATTTATAGTTTTAATGTCTTTTGTAAGTCGCCCAGAGTCCCCTATTGTAGGGGAGATGGGCAGGGGAGAAATCCAATAAAATAAATAAATAAATAAATAAATAAATGGCAAGTCCAAGTTCAGTGTAGCTTTAGCTTGGCTTTCATTACACCGGATATGTAATCTGGAGACCTTCCTCCCAGCCCAACTGCACTGGTGCTAGCCTAGCATTATGGCACTATGTTAGTTTCAGTAACCCTTCTTTACATTCACACCACATTGGGTGCAGCATATTTACCCTCTCCAGAATTCTTTATGAAATATATTTTCATGTCTCTCAACAGTGCAAAGGAACTCCATGTAACAGGTAAATTTTCAAATCCATCTCAAAAATTACTTTTCCTTTGGATTTAAAATAATTTGTTGTACAATCTCATAAAGCAGTGTTTCTTTACAGTGCAACCTGATTCTCCTTAAGAAAAAGATTGTTGGTATACACAATGTGAGAATGACGACAAAGCTGAAGAGGGAAAAGTGAAGAAAAAAAAGGAGAAACGGGGAAGAAAGAAATGCAAACAAATATCTTGGAAGTACAATAAAGTTATTGAACCATACCACTGGGGAGTGGTGATTGAGCTATACCAACCTGATTAAAGTATTTTGCGGGTTATCAAAAACATGGAATACTGTTTCCAAAAAAATCTGCCAAGTGGGACTAAAATGCCAGTTTTGGAATCAAGTACAATTTTTCTAACATAGGGACCCTATCACACATGTATAATTGTGGATCTCTATGTCTGATCTGTCTGCCTGATCTACAGTTATTAGCTAGACTGGGCAGTATATTTTGGATCAACAAAACTGTCACCCCATAATGGCAATTTCTTAATGTTTTCACAAATTCTACCATCATAATAATCCCCACAATGTCATTTGTTTTGTTGATAAACAGGCAGTTAGCTAGATACATAGGGAGAATATTTCATATTCTTTTCTTAGATTGAATAACAATGCATAACAAGCAGAAAAAATACTTGAAATTACATTTAAGTTGTAACTGTTCCATGCAATGCAAATCTCCTTTAAATATATGGACATCTTACTAAACAAACCATTCCAACCATATTTGGAGAATGGGCTGCCATAAATGATAACTAGAGCCATGCCTGGTAGGTATGGTTTCAAGTAACTAGTTACAGCCATACATCAAAAAAAAAAAAAAAAAAAAGATAAATGCCCTTCTTGATTTAGGGCACTGAATTCTAGAAACATTGGTCTAAAGTCTATGGTTTGACTTATCTGGTATTGGAATATCTTAGTTTACAGGTTGTTGGCTTGGTCATCTCTCAGAGGGAGAGCAAAATTGGATGACAAATTTTACTTTATTTGTTTTTTGAACTTTACAAGGCCATTCTGATGAATCATGAGGCAGATGGGATGTAGGTGGCTTAAATTATCAGGGGCAATCTAGTTTTATTTCAGAGATTCAAACAGAGAAAGAGGAGGGAGCAGCAGTGGTTTTTTTTAGCTGAGTATACTACACCTGTTATATTCCCCTTCTGAATCTTAAGGAATGAGATTATCAGTTCACAAGCTAACTTTATCTAACTATAGCTACTTATTACCATACATCTCTTAAAGTATAAAGAAGAGCAACAAAAATATTTATTTATTTAGTCATCATATTTATATAGTCACCCATCTCACATATGTGTCTCTCGGTGGCATACAATGAAAAACAAACCATAAAAACAAACATTAAAACTTGAAGAGCCCTGGACCCAGGACAGAACCCTGGGGTATCCCACTGCATACCTCCCTCCCTGTAGACATAGACGTACAAGGGGCCCTTGCCAGAAGTCAAAGCTGACTTGAAGGCACATTTTTTTCCCTCTGTTGCTGCTCTGCTGCTCCTGACTATCAAACAGCTGATTGATGTGTGGGCAGAAGCAACCTGACTCCACAGCTACCACTAGCCTCCTTGCATCTCAGGCAGCACCTCCCTTATTGGCAGTATCTGGGGCAGGCTGCCCCCTTACCCCCCCTCCTTTGTATGCCACTGGAAATGGGTTCCATTCTTCTGCTTTAATTTAGTAGATAAATCCTTTCTAACAAATCTAGCAACAAATCAACTCCTGAGCATGCTCTGGGCAAGAAAGAGTTGCAGCACCAGTATCCAAACTCAGCATGGCAAAGCAAAGAGAGATGCTGAGTATCAGAACATTCCCATTACAACAAGGCCAAAGAAGGGAAATGCCATCGATAGATATTGGGAAGACATTACTGATTGGCAGCAAGTAAGAAACCCCAGTAGAATAGATTGCTTGTCTCTAAGTTTTTGCTGTGTTTTGTTTTGTTTTTGTACAGTAGATGACAAATTTATTTTGAGTTACAAATCTATGATAGATCAGTTTTAAATTTAATCCCAAAACATATAATAATAACAACAACAACAACATTTTAAATGAAAGTACTGTATGAATAGAAGAACTGGTTGTAATATATCCTAAATAGCTAAAGAGCAATCACTTGTCATTTGACTTATTTTGTTGGGATTAGAGCAGTTTGAATGCCATAATAATTTGATAGCATTTGCAAATACAAATATTACAACTTCTACTACTATTATTACTCCTTTAAGCAGCAACCATGGACAAATATATGTAGAGTACAGCATACAGTATGTATGCATTTACTTATATGCACAACTTTTCTCCTTATTTATGCATGTTCACACAATCACAACAATCCTGTGACAGTAGCTTGGGTTGAGAAATGGTGACTATCCCAAGGATACCCAGTGACCTTCATGGTTTGATCAGAAGTTGAATCCCAATAAGACAATCTAATTCACTATTTTGGCCATAATCATAAATAAATACATAGGGGGAACTTGGATTCTAATTCGCTGGCCATGTTAGATGTATTACATAAAGCAACAGACTGAAAATGAATTTGGTCAACTGATATATCTGTAAGATTGTGGAAAGCAATGAAAAGAAGAAAAGTAAAAAGAAAAGAAGAGGCTAAATGGCTTTTTTGTAGGATGGATAAATATAGAAAAGAGTTATGGTAAAAGATTCTCTTCTTCTGATAAACATTATTCCTGTCTCTTAATTGCCTCATTAATTACATATATACTCCTTTGAGAAGTCTCTGCTAAAAGTGAGATATTTTGTGCCATAGCTAAATTCTTATCTTCTGCTTTCACACATATACAAGAAAGCTATTGTTTTTAATTAGAGACAGATGGTGCTGATTTTTGCTATTGCTAATTAAATTAAGATATAAAATTTAATTTTCTCAGATGAAATGCCATTCAAGTAGACTATTGATATTTAAGTAATCAAAGATGTTACCTAGCTGGGTAATGAAATGTTTGCAAGAAAAGAACCAAGCCCAGAGAACCCCAAGGACTCCACAGTTCAACCCTGAGCTACACATATTCGTCTCTATTGGTATATCATGAGAACCACAATATTTATTACCTAATTATTTTAGCGTCTTATTTTAATTAAGTATCACAAAATAGTTCAGGTATTTGATAAAGTAATAGTATTAATAATAACAATGATAATGATTTTCTTGTTGCAAAGAAAAAGCCAGTTGGATTTTAAAGAAAAAATACATATTATTAGATGTTCCAAAATGCCAAGCACCTATAAACTGAATCCTGTCCTCAAACAGTTCATACAATTTCCCCTCACCAATAATAAATGACCTATTTTTTGTCTATTTACTAACCACACTGAAGCAGAATGGCTGTTGCACAATGAAGACCTTATGTATGAAGTGGCTTTGAGTTATCTCATGTTTACAAGATACAAAAAGAAAAAGAAAAAAAAGATAAAAGAGCAATAGGATAGTCACCAGACATGCAAGAGGAGCCCCTGCCCTTCAATTAATTCAAAAAGTGCTGAAATCTGGAGAGTGCTTCATGAGATTTCGATAAGAGTTTATGAGATTTGAGGGGTTATCTAGGTCATCACTTGAGGGTACTTGTGATGAAAAGAGATGAATGGATCTTCCACTGTCCTTGAAGAATCATAGGATATCCTGCTTCATTGCTACTGCTTGATGCATTCTCTTTTCTTCATTCTGTCAAGCATCCCTCTTACCAAGAGCATTCTTGTTAGATGTTTAGTCTTTCCATGAAAAACATTAAAGGTAAGAGTTTTCACAATATGGTTTATTCCAGTGGCAAAGTACTCATGTCTAGCAAACTGAGAATGTCATAATTCATATTTTCTAAAACTATCTATGTAGCATTTCTCATTAACAACCATGAGTTGTGGTGAGGGAATGTTCTTCCTATCTTTCAATCCCAATGCCAATGTCATTTAAATCAACAACACTACTTATGCCCATGATTGTTGCTTTCCAGTACTTCTCATATTTGGTAATTATATACTGACCAAGTCCCCATGCAGCAGTAACTATAATATGATTTATTTGTTTTCACCTTACCATTATGTGCAGATCTACTCCTTAGAGTTTTGTCAACCAACCATAATTTAAAATAAAACCCTACCTTAGCATTACAGGTGAATCCAACTTTGTCTCTCCCATCCAGGCTTGTTTCTCTGCAAATAAGCTTGTGAAGATATTTTTACACGAAAGTCATCTACTAATTTCTACGGAACATTTTCAGCAAATAAGCCAAGTGATCATTCAACAGTTATTAAGTTATTCTTGCAAGCTTAAGAAGTCAGTGAAAGTAAAATGGTATTAATGTTGAAATGTATATTACATAGAAACATTGTTTCTGTTGGTATTTATTCTTTGTGGAGCTTTTGGAAGCTACTGATATTCATTGGATTAAAGTGGTATAAAAGCATTTGCAATATGTAAATATTTTTTTAAAAAGTCAATATCAATCCATGTTTTATGCACTGACTTATTTGAACCAGCCAATATTAGACACAATTTATAATTTTATTGAATCACTAAATTGTGGATAGTAAAAATAGAAATAAGAATTTCTAGTTGCCTCAAAGAGAGAAGAGAAGGAAATAAGGAAAACTGACATTTATCATGACAATTGAACCAGTTGGAAAACCTTTGGAGAAGCAGTAGTTTCATAACCAAAGAGAAAATAGCATTAGTTCTTGGCACTAAAGAAAAAATTCTGGGCACAATAGTTCTAGAAAGTTCTGCTTATTTTTATTCACTGAAGGTAATAGCACTGTTTCAGACCAACGCTTGGATCTAAAGATGCTCTTCTGCTACTGTAACAGAAAGCCATTTCTATTCATATAAGATCTGTTTCTGACCTAGCAGAAGATGGTCAAATGAGAAAAAATGTATATGATACAGAAAAGTCCATCAGGTCCATTTAACTCTTAACTTCTGTGCGTTCTTCATTGCTCTTATACATCTATGTAAAACAAACTCTAATACCTTCTAGTGCTCCACTGTGACATGTTCTGCTGCTAGCTACATAATAGTGCATGAAATCACACAAATACAGTTTCTTCTTCCATTCATAGGGCTTTGGACGTGTAATCAGAAGTCTGTTACCTAGCAACCTGGCACTGAGCATTTAAAATGGAAAACCTACCCCTATGTACATTTCCAATACCAGAATAACATGGCCACAAGTAAAGACAAAGAGCTCATACATCAGTCATTACAACCTACACTTAACATTTATGAACCTAGACCAGAGGTTTTAGGACTGTAATTCCCTTAAGTGCTTTTTAAATGATGCTTTTAATTTTTAATTACACAACAGGATATGTCCACATCAGACTATTTCTTGCAATATCCTTATACAATTATTCTACAAAGTAAGAAGGAGAGAATAATCTCAGAAAGAAAGTAATAGAATGTATTTAATGGGCTTCTGATGATAAATGGGATATGATTTTATTCTCAAAATCCAGAAAGGTGCCAAAAACACCCTCTTATTGTTTTGTATCTGGACTATGATTGCACAGAGATTCATATACAGTGATATCCAGTGATAAATATTTATTTATGGAGTTGGAATTTGAGTTCAGTGGTGTTACTTCCAACAAATGCAATATATTCAGTTGCCTTTAATACAACACATCAAATGTTTCCAAACTTTTGGGGTTAATTGACATATTTGAAACTTTGGGAACATATTATTGACACACTTACAAAAATGGTTGCCATGATAGCCATGGCCAGTCAAAAAATACTAACCCTTTCCCTCCAGGATGCTCACTATCACCTTAGTTCATCTTTGTCTTGTTTATATGCATGAGAGCACACTTCCAAAGAAACACTGGACTGAAGCTATCCATCATTCTATTTTCTAACTATACCTCTGGAATGCATATGATACTTGAGGCTGATATTTGGCTTTGCAGCATGCCCATTTCCTAATTATGTATTAAAAACATCTTTTAAAAAATAAAATCAGTGGGAAGGGAAACAGATTTGTTCTAAAGGAGTGTCAGTGGGCACATTGGCAACCATCGGTTCCATATTGGAGAACAAATATTGAACAATAATTTTTTTATTAGAATATTCTACTGCTGATATGTCTAACAAGGCTGTGGACAATTAACTCATTTTGGATAGATTGTATTTGCTGTTAAAAATAGCAGTTAGGTGTTATGAAAGATCACAAGATAATTATCTACTGGTCTCACTCAACTTTAGGTTCTTGGTTTGCATATACATGACGTTCAAGAGTCTGCTAAAGAGGAAGAGACTGGTAAAGCACATGTTTGGAAGATGTTGGCTTTGACTGGTGGAATTCATGATTCTTTCTCATTGAAAAGAGATTTGTTCTTTTGCTGACACCACATGAGCATGTAAGTTTTTTTTAAAAAAATCTTTGAATTAAACCTTTTGCTAACCACATAGAAAGAGAAACTGTGTTTAGTACAAATTGGATTAGGATAAAACTCAGAGTTTATTTTCTAATCATAAGATTATTTTTATTTTAATTCAGCAAACTATTTCAGCAAAAGTTCATGTATTTGAAATGAAATTGCTCCTAAGCCGTAGAAATACAGATTGTAGTAGGTATGATTGCATTGATAGCTAGAAAAGTGCATCCATAAAAAACAATGCCCTTTGGATTTCACCAATGACTCCAAGTCTCTAGACAGCATTAACAATCAGACAGGGGCTGCAGCCTTCATTAGAAGCTATAGGAAAACCATTTGTTTTCTGTGATTTTTCATGAGATGCACTTTTTCTACACTGCCAGTGATGGATTTTTTTAATGGACATTAGGATTTGAGGTTGGATATTTTTATTATAATAGCTGGCTTTTATTAATATTTGATATATACAGATATCTACATTTGATTTCTGAAGCTACTTTTAAGGCATTTGCAAGTAAACTGCTTCTCATACAAATGGGGTATGCAGTATATTGTTTATAATTTTAAAAAGAAAGAAAACATTGTTTTGCAAAGAAGGGGATAATTTAGTCTGATATGCCAACCAAAATGAAGAGGAAAAGCAGAACATCACTTACATGAAAAAATAAAACATAAAGTGTAATACTGGCAGGAAATTCTGGAAATGGTTGTGCAAACATATCTGGAGGGCACTAGATTGGAGGTAAATTCCTTTTATTGTTGTACATGTGGCAAATTGTACTTCTTCCACCTGGTCTCTTTCATACTCTAATGAAGGGCTACGGGATGTGAATCATGTTGATCTTCATCACTTTAACAAGACACCTTGTCACATTCTTTAGTCACACAACTTAGGTCAATAGTTAACATCATGAAGATATTAGAAGAAGTCACACCAGTACATACCCAGCAGAAACTATGAGCTGCCAGATGGTTCTGGCACGTAGAATGTTACAATTCCCCATTTGGGCTTCATCTCTTCTTAAACCCTTGGGTGAGTATGACATTGCTGCATATGTGGAGTTCTTGGTGCTCTCTGAGCTGGGTTGTTTACTTGCAGATGTTTCATTACCCAACTAGATAATATCAGGTAACATCATCATCACTCACATGGTTGATGTTACCTAGTTGGGCACTGAAATACCTGCAAGAATTTCAATTTCAGAGAGCCCCAAGAACTCTACAGTTCAATCCTCAGCTACAACTATTCTGTTCTATTGGATTGCTGAATATAATGTAGCAGCATAAAACAAGATGCATTATTAACTCTTGAATGTTAGAATTTTACCCATACCAGCTAAACTTTATATGGAGAAAGTTAATCTTGGCTTGAAATAACACAATTAAATCATTTGCTTACCATGCACCAGCAGAGGGAAAGCCTCAAAAAGAGGGGTGATAGTCAGAGACACAGTAGATTGATATATAACAATTTGTTATTCAATCCAAAATGGGGTTAACTCTAAATGTATCTTCCTCAACCTGCTCAGTAATAGGGCTTTCAGCACTAGATTGTGAAATCTGCCACAAAGCTTTGCATCCAATGGCAGCTTCATTTATCCAAGCATTGTATTATCTTGCCCATAGTAGGTGGAAGCACCTAGCCAACCTTTCCTAATTGCACAAAAACTGTGTTAGAGTTTCTTTATATGTGGTGGGGAGACCACTATGAAACCCCAGGATGGGAAACTTAAAAAAAAAAAAATCCTGAAAAAAAGCAGTGGGGAACCACTTCTAGATTATTAGTGTGTGGTCATGTAGTCAGGAATCAAACTTGAGGGAGATTTTACCATTATTTTACCTTTTGCCTAAACTCAGAAACTTAAACTGTTCCAAGGCATTTGCACAGATGAAGCTTTGGTATGTTTCAATAATCATAATAAACTGGCCTTAAGGTTTGACTTCTAGGTTTTGGGGAGACTGAAAATGGATTTTGCAATGTTTAAGAAGAGTCTGGGTGTTGGGGCTCAGAATTCTGGAACTCCAAGAATTCTCAGCCAGCATGTCCAAGGATGCTGGAAACAGAGAACCCAGTGTAACTGGAGGGAAGATGATTAGGGAATGCTCATCAATTCCTAAAACTAACATGTATATGATAAGAAAGCATGAGGAAATGTTTTTCATCCTCTTTTCCTAAAGATTTTCAAATCATTCCTGTCCATTTTAACTGCTAAATCTCAATATGAAATTCATTGGCCAAATGGTGTTTATTCCCTTGGCTTCAGAGCTGATGGCAAGGATCTTCACTTAGCAAGTATTTTCATTAGTTAATGAAACAGAGTATTTTCAGGACCACCCAGTGAAAACTAAAATAAACAACATTTAGGCTAAGGTGAATCTACTTCAACCACAAGTTCCCTCGGGTCTCTTGATCCATCCAGACCACTTTGCTATTTATAAGAAATAAAAAATAATGTTATTTAATATTTTATTTAGACTCCAATCAACTGGGTGGTGTACAATGAATACAATAACTATAAAAATCTATAAAATATAAAATATATAAAAATATATAAAAAGCAGAATATAATTTCTATAAAAGAATACTGATGCTATCTGCCAATGTTTTTGAATTGGGGTTCAACTCCCATCATCCCTACCAGCAAGTGCTATGGAAACTAGTGCTAATTGAGAGGTGATGGGAATTGTAGTCCATCACCTCCTGGTAACCCCACCCACACACAATCTGGCAGGGGCCCCAATCACCCTAGTCCAAGGCTTGGAAAAACTGGATCTGACTCCTTGTCTCTTAATGGAATGGTGGGTATGAACATTCTCTTGTGCAGTTTTAGAGTTGATCAATTAATGCCATCAATTCAAAGTATTTCTCTACTACCATTATATACAAAATCTTGAGGTAGCTCAGAAAAAAAAATCAAATGCATTAAAATAAAGAACAAGTAGCAATGTGTTCTTGCTGTTTTCTTAGGTAACAGATTGGATGGGAAAATTGGAAATAAAAATTAAAATTATGTCTCTGCATAATCCTAGGTATGTTTACCCAGTTGGAAAATTTCTGTGATATTCAGAAATCTTAGCAGTGGCATCCACAGGGTGGTAAAAAATGTGAAGATGACAGTCACAGCAGTGCAATCAAAGCTTCAATCTTTTTTGTATTGTATCACATGCATGTACAAAGGGATGGAGGGTTGAATGCATTGCCATGACCACCATCTTGACTTTTATGACCCATCTTGCAGGTGCTATAAAACTGAAGTTACCAATTTCACTGGTATTTATCCCAGCTTTCCCAAGCCGGACTATGGTGAGTAAAAATTATAGGAGTTTGAATTCTTTATGCAGGTAATCAGTACTGTATATAAATTACCACTATTTTTTTTAAACTGAAACAAAATTGTTCAATGTTAATAGATTAAAGAAAAAAACTTCACAATGATATATTTTTCTTCCATTCGATTCAATTAGCACAGTTCTGAGGATGCTGATTTTACTAACCTGTCTTCAGAGAAGAAGATAATCATCAGAAAACGTGAGTATGAAAAATAAATGTATAAAACAAAGTTGGCACAAAATATCTTTTCTAAATTTTAAAAAAGGTGTGATTGTGTAAATGCATCAAAATTATAGAATGAAAGATATTAGATTCCATCCAACCAATTCCATTGGCACATCATCATATTTCCATTGATCTACCATTTATTCCCCAACATTACAAACAGCTTTTGAGCAATCTCTTTGGGCAAACAAATCAATGGTACCAATTTTGCTGAAGTCCCAGCTGGCTTGGGTAAAAACTAAACAATATTGTCTTATCATTTATAGGGACTGCTGAATGTTGCAGAGGTATGATTAAGTTTGGTAACCTAGTCTCTGTCTTCTCTATCTTTCTAAAAAGTAAATGTCAGCTGACCAAAACCAAGGCCCATGTGATGACAACCATGACATATGGAAGTTTGCAACTTTGAATGCAAGAGAGTCATCAGTAAAGATAATTCATTAACTAATGAGATGAAAGAAAAAAATCGATATACTTGTGTGTCTTTGAAACTAAGAGAAAGCACGTAACAGATGTGAACGCAAGTGGCCTTATTTCATGGAATAGAGTTTATGAATACATGCAGGGAAGTGAAGGTGTAGATTAAATCATGAATGAAAGACCTAAAATGTATGCCAGAAAGTATTGGCATCATCTAGAATGCTGTAGGTGAGTTTAGAGAGAATGAATGAGGATTGAATTGCAAAACAAATATATGAAAGAAGGGTGAATAGGTTGAGAGGAAAAGTAAGACATTAATGTTTGAATGGAACTAAGGAGATCCTCAAAAAGTCAGAGTGAGAAATTCAAGGAACAAAGGCAGCGTATGAGCATGGTGAAAGCAAGACAGGTTTGCAAGGACAAAAAGTTACAGTAACCCAGAAGTAGCTGTATTGTCTTTTCCTTATCTCATGCTTATTATCTTGTTTCTGTTTAGCTTTGTACTTTTACTCCCTTTCTACACTTTGCATAATGTTACTTCTCCTCAAATGAAAAGGAATAGTATGATTGGTATGAACATAACTCTGATTCTAGTTTACTTTTTGTTCTCGCCTCATTCACTGCTTTTCAGACTGTACTCACTTGCATAATATTCAAAGGCCAAGTATGGCTCTCAGCCCAAACAAGTTGTTCATCCATGCCCTGTTGAAAAGGCTGTTATATTCTAAAAGTTGAAATAACGTGTATTGTCACTTTTAAATTTCATTCAACAGGATTTCCTCCCTCCCTCCTTCCCTCAAGCTGGAGAGGTTTAGATTTAGTTTGGTAAATTGGCAAGAAAATCTAGCAAGCCTGCCAGTATTATTGAACTCACAGAGCTCCAGGGCAACAAAAGATAAGTTTCTGAATTCTATTGTATTTTTATTGTTTGTTGTGGTACTTCTTATAACCATTTAGAGGTTTTCAATTTATGGAAGAAAAATTTCTCCACCATAAAACACTTGCCTGAAAGCACAATCCTACAGTAAATCTGCAAGAACATTCCTCTCTCAAATTTTCCATGTGGTGTGAAAACAGGACTATTATCCAATTTGCTTTAATTATGCTTCTTGGGAAAATAATTAACTCAGACCATCCATGCAGATACGGTTTTCTTCTCTTTTCCTCTAAAATGTAGGCAGTAGTAACATGATGCAACACATTATCTGTGGTGGTACCAAGTTCAAGAAGCTCTTCCTTTTTCTTCTTTGTTAAGGTACTTCCAGATGATGAATCATAATCTTTGGTCTGAGAATAATCTGGGTTATTTTGATTGCTTGCTAATCTTTTTTCTATCTTCCTTTCCTTACAGCTCTTCCCAAATGCCTTGAAACTGAGACATTAATAGTTTGTTCAATTGTAAGACCTGGTCACTACTTTGATCATCAGAATTCTCTCATGTGATAATCAGGACTGTATCTAGCTAACCCAATTGTGTCATTTCAGAGAGTAAAATGCAGAAGTTCCTGTTGGCTGTTTCTTGTTTTGTTTTTTCACCTGAATTTTGTCCATATATATATTTTTTTAAAAAATAAACATCACTACAAGGCTATTTTGGAATGAAAAGGAGGACATAAAAGACCAGATCCTAATGCAGCCATCCCCAATCTGAATACTTCCAAGTACATGGACTTTAAGTTCCAGAATTCCCTGTTCAGTATAGTTATAGCTTAGAATTCTGGGAGTTAAAGTCCACACATCTTCAAGTCACCAAGGTTGAGCGACCCTGCCTTAGTTCACAGTTTACCATAATGGGGATAGTTTAGAGAAAAGATTTTCAGGACTAGGGCCCTAGTAAGGATTTAGGAGGTCTGAGGAAGATTTGTTATGTAGGACCATCCTTACTGTTCCATACAACTAATTCATTTCTGTACTTCAGCAGATTACAGGTAAGCATAGGTGGCAACCAATTTAGCTGTTCCTGCCAACAGGACATCTACATTTTGTTCCTTGGAATTCTTCTGTTTCCATGCCACAACCATTTGCCTTTTCAGAGACCTGAACTGTCAGGAATGCAATGGAGAGGGTGTCCATGATTGCAGTAAACTCAAGAAACATAGGTCTTCAGTAAAGTCAACACATGCATGCAGAAATGATCACACATACATCATGTGAGACAGCAGAGTCAACTGCAGGGGGGATACATGATACAAGCTCCACTTGTTTTGTACATGGGTGTGACATCTGCTTTGAAGTTTAAGTACTTAAAACCACTGTCTTACACTTTTCTCTTAAGCTTCTTAATTACCATTTTGCTGAACATCCATGCAGAATATTTCTTCTTGCTTTCAAGCCTGTGGAGTCATCAACAACAGTCATAATTTATTTGCTTTGCAAGTTTGTTTTCTACTTAGAGGAGGATCAAATGGTTCAGTTTATTTTCCCCTGTCACTAACTGCAAGCAGTTCTTAATAATCTTAAGCTTATTAAAATTGCATTCCCATATGTAACAGAAATTGGCATGGTGATGGCATGATTGGCATGGTGATTTTTAAGCAAATGCATATCTGAAGAACACAGAAGCTCAATTGTTTCCCTAGAGATATACTATCTTACCTGATTTTATAATACATTTTTTGCAACTCCTCCTTTCTTTAAATTCTATCGGTAAATAATGGACAGAGTCTTCTCAAATTTATTTATTTATATTTATATTTCAAATTTGTCACTGCCCATCTCACTACAGAGTGACTCTGGGCAGTTTACAGCAAAAACAGAATAAACATTAATTAAAATAGATAAATATTAATTAATTAATTAA